CTCAAATTCTTTTCAAGCCTGGTCTCGAGACAGTGTCTCGTAAACCTTTATTCCACCAACTACAATTACGAGGAACTAGGTTGAAACATAATTCCAAGGCGCTGCGATAGATACGTAAGTATACGCGCGAACTTTTGCGGATTAAACGGAAACCTTCAAAATGCAGGATGGAGGAACTTCCGCTTGACGTTTCGCGATCCTTTCATATATACTTTTTAGAATCGTGAATGGAAGAAGCTACCTTCTCGGAGATTTAAATTTCAACACCGTTCGCGTCAAGTTTGATACAATGATGCGCAGAAAATACGCAGAAATTTTCTATAAAATATATAAATAATCTCATCAAAGAATTATTAATTTCAGAAAAATTGTACTGGAAAATGAATCATTTACCATGATATAATCTCGATAACCATTATTGCACTCGAAATTTTCACAATTCGAGAAACAGGATATAAGACAGGCTAACATCGAAAAAGGAGGCTATCAAAACTAAGACAGGCTATGAAAAAAACGTTTGATTAAATTTATGGAAGAGTTAGACGGAGAGGAAAGAAGCGAATGCAAGGAGATGAAGAGTAGTTCGAGTCTCGAGCGCGGATTCCTCTCCGGATATCCGGCAACGGTCCATAAAAATCGGTTGCTCTTCGTAAATCGGCGGACATTTCGGATTTCCGGATTAGCCCCGTCCGCGCATCCGTTCAGTCGTCTCGTAAATTCCTTTTCGTTCGGCGGAGAAACGAAACTGGAAAACGAAGGGCGCGAAACCTCCCCCCTCTTCCATCCCTTCCTTTTTAAGCTCTCTGGTGGCAGAAATTGGGCAGCGTTGGGATCGATTGTTGGACACGATGTTGGGAAAAAATTCCAGATGATTCCAGATGAGGATTTTTGTCGTTTGTAGATAATTATAATAATAACGTTATGAAATCGTATTAGGTATCGAATTATGGCATCTTTTGAAGTATAGTTTGAAAAATAGTATTAACTTTCTCTAATATTTTCAAGCCCGGTTCAAAACCCATTTACACGTAGAGAAGAATATTAATTCTGAAAGCTAGCATCGATTAAAAGGGGTTAAAGAACATGGCGCAACCTCATTCACGCGAAGGGAACAAAAGATTCATTCACCCTCTACGCGATCCCTTGCCAGTCCCCGTTCTATCAACAATCCTTAATGAAGCCGCAAAAGGCACGTAAAAACCGCGCATCGAGCTCTTTTATCCGATTTCAAACGGGCGTCTTAATTCCTTTAATTTTCGCGTTCGATGGAAACGAAAGAGAACCGTTTATCGTATTCAATTTTAATTAATTATCGATCAGATAATTCTCGCGTATCGAATCTCGTGTGATATGAATAAAATAATAAAAAGGAACGCCAAAAGAACGACGAATCTATTCAACATCTCTCGTATTTCCAAGAGTTATTTACTCAATTCCATTTAAACTATTATTATATATCACGCGATTGACCATATTTCGAATTTTCTAATTATATTCACTGCCATCATCAACCAATTATCTTCCATGAAATTAATTTTTTTTTCCCCTCGTCACGATTGCTTCTGATTCAAATTCTCTGTTTTCTGCGAATCTACGAACGAACGGATCGATTACAACACAACAATAATAATAATAATGCAATTGGAAAGAAAAAAGTTGGAGATTACGCGTCCCGCGTGTGCGATCAACGCAAGTGCGGGGATAACTTCATCACACGCGAAAGGGTGGTTTTATGGGCGCAGCACGTGGTCAGTGACGTGGAGACGGAGCTATTCGCGTCTCTCTCCATCCAGAATTACTCTAACTTCAACCATTTCTCCCGCAGGACAAGGGTTTATTAATATCGCGGTCGGAACGGGCCGCCCTTTTATTTGGAACGCTTCGCAATCGGATTAACACAGCGCTTACTTCTCGCTTACGAGATTACCCGAATTACTCCACCTGGGATTTGATACAGGTATGTAATCAGGAAGCGAGTAAGAGATGGTGAGCGAGAGAGGAAAAGAATATTAGTAAATAGAAGACGAGTGTTTGCGGGAGAATAATCATGGAAGCAGTAGGAATTTAAAAAAAAAGGGGGATTTCGATATTTTGAACCCTAACTACGTACGTAGATTTTATTCTGCGGTTTTATATTCATATTTATTCGTGTTAAATAATTATTAACTGTGAATATTTGGGGATAGTAATTCGAGTTTATTTATTTAAATTCCTCAAAGTTAAAAAAAGTGTTTAATTGATTAAAATTGCTATAATTGAATTAAGAATTTTTATGGAAAATTTGAATATAATATCTAAGATGTGGTATTATGATATTTAAAGAAAATGGTTTATCAAAATTTTTGATAGATATACGATCATAATTTTTTAATCTTGCTATTATACGTTGTATAACACAGTATTTGTGAATGTTTGATTTAAAATTTTGGGAACGTGAAAGAACAAGCTTTAGATCACGTGTATGGAGAGGAAGAATTTTATGATAGTTTCAGCGAGAATTTATATGGAATGGGTGGACTAGAGAAATGTATGGACTACTGCGATAGACGTATCACGGAGGATGCTTGAACCAGAATGGCAGGAAGAGGGTTTGGACCGTGCGTTTGAGATTGGACAAAGAGTGCAATGCCAAATCGAGATTTTGCCTGATTAGATTTTCCCTGAATGCGAAAGAAATAGAACGCGTGTACAAGCATAAACGATGGCAAAATGTTCTCTGGAATTTTAATTACATTGTCAAGTTGTGAATTAGAAATCCGGTCTAAGATGTAAAAAGATTTAAAAACAATGCGAGAGAAGAGGAAATATTAAATGGTAAATGCACGTTTGATAGTGCAAGTGAGCGCTATAAAATAGAGAAAAAAGAAAATTGGAAAATGTAGAGATTGGAAAAATGAGAATGGGATAGGAAGAAGAATAAATAAAGATTATACAAAAAAGAAGAAATTGAAGATAGACTTAAGTGGAAAGTGTAATAGTGAAGAGAGAAAAAGGTGGAATAAAATTAGTGAAAAAAGGGATAATGATGTAAAGGAGAGAGAATATTGGTCAAGCGTAAGAGTTAAAAATTAAAGAACGAGAAGGGATTGGAAGGTAAAAGAAGGGATAAAACAAAAAAGCGAGAACAGCGACTTGGAAAGAATTCGAAAAGAGTGCAAGAGAAATAGTTAAAAAGGGTGAAACTAGCGGGGCACGAAGATTTGAAGGAAGATTTTAAAGCAAGATTTTAAAGAAAAGATATGGAAGAATCGGTTGAAGAAGACGATAAAAGAAAGGAGGAAGCTCGAAGAATCTTGTTAAAAATTCGACAAATAAACAAAGAAGGATGATAGCGCATATAAGAATAGTAGTAACTGGAGAGAAGAAAAGTGTATCGAACCTCGAAGATCTCGACCAAAAAAGCTTAGAAACTTGAAAAAAGAAATCAAAAGTGAAGCCAGAAGATCAAGAGAATGAAACTGAAAAACAGAGGGATGAAGGGTCAAAGGTCGAAGGAAACGAACGGATAATCACAATCAGTCGGAAAAGGGATGAATGAAAGGGACGAAAGAATCGAACGAAAAAGTTCAAGAGCGAAACCAAAGGGAGATAACCAGAGGGATGGAATACGAATCGAAAAGTAGGGGCAAAGAGGATAAAAGAGAGGGGGAGGAGCTAATGGAATAAAAGGAGGGGAAAGGAAAAGAGGAATGCGGAGGATCGTTGGAAGGGTAAGGTTCGTAATAAAGTTGAAAAAGGGGTGAGCGTTTATCGACGAATTAATCCGTATAAAGCGGCCCCCGTTGTTACGAGGAGATACTGTTACGCGAAAAGCACAAGCAAGAGCCGGGTCTTGCCCGGCTTTCGTTCAAATTATCTAACCGGAGATCGTTATCGACCTCCATACCCGCTGGATGACGATGTTTTTTCCCATCCTAGCGCCGTAATTGCCGCTTTTTCAACCCACCGCCGTCGCTTAACTTAATCGATTGCCAACTTTTTGCCGATCGAGCTTGTCGTCGCCGCGTTTACGATTTCACCCTACAACCGATGCAACAACATTGCATCCTCATCCTCGTGGATCGTGCAATACCGGATAGCGCATCGTTACGCTTTGACGTTCCGTTTTGCTGCCATCCTCCCCTCCTTTTTTCCTTCTTTTTTTATGGATCGCTTTATAGGATCGTTCGACGAGGCATTTCGTTTACAATTCGTGTTATTTTATTTCACGATTCGGTTCTCGGTTAAAGGTGCACGTCGATGCTCGCGTCGAGGGGATCCATCGAATGGAATATCGATCTCGATTATGATCTCGAGACGATTCTCGAATATTTATCGTCGGTCAGACACAGTGAGTGTTCTGTTACTCGAAGGATTCGCAGAAAGAAGAATCCTGATGGAATTTTTTAGAGGATCCATGTTTCATGATCCTGTATATATAGCTTTATGTGTACGATGGTTATCCGATTTCTGTTCTCAGCGAGGAATTTAAAACGAGGTATTGATCCATGAATCTCCGGCTCGTTGACTCGAAACGCTTCGTTTTAAGAAGCACGGCAAACGCGTACACGATAATTTAATCATCACGCTCGTATAACATCGACAAACCATCTCACCTCCCTTCTTACCCACATCGTATACCTACCACACAACGTATAATACGTGGCGAGCAACTCGAGAAGAGTCCTCCCCCAACATCTTCGATCAAATCTTCCTGGTTCTCTGGAACAAGCATACCACTACTACTACCTTTCCTTCCCACTACTCCTGGCTCCTCTCGACTTGGGTCGATGGACTCCTCTCTCCTCTTCCGGTGCTTCCGTCGCCGCGTAACGCGAAATAAATCGTCCCTACCTCGCCCCAGAGGGGAAAAAAGCGGTGGAGAGGCCCCCGTCAACAAGGACTCGCTGGCACCGTGCCGTTGAAATTTCGTCGGTAGATTGTCTTCGACCGCGTTGCCAAACCCTCCAGTCATGCCTGGAAAAACGAAAAGAAAAAAAAAATGGAGATTTTCACCTTTCATCCTTTTTTTTTTTTCTCCCTCGCCAAGGAAAAATTAATTTCCCCGCTGTGGTTACGTTAACGAACACGAAATCGAGGAAGAGAAAGAAGAAGAAGAAAAAGGGAGGAAAAAAAATATCCTCGAGCATTTAACAGCTTTCAATTAAACGAGAGAATTTATAATAATCTCTTAACTCGACGCTGAAAGTTTCTTTTCTCTCTCTCTCTCTCTCTCTCCTCGTTTTCGTAATCCAGTCGTTAATTTAGGGAGCCCGCCTCGCGATTTCGAGCGTGTTTCGAGCGCGTCAACGGCGTCGCGCGAGCTTTTCATCATCGTCAAATACGCTGAAAGGGAGGGGAAGGGTGGGAACAGAAGAGAGGGAGAGAAAAAAAATTCTCTTCAAACTCTTCGAATGAACTTTCTCTCCGCCAAACGACGAGGTCTTTGAACTTTGTCCGTCTCTTCTCCTTCCACGGTAGCCGGGGGTATTAAACATCCGTGGACCAAGGAGGGAGGGAGGAAGATGGCGAGAAAAGGAAGAGGCTCGGCCCGCTTCCTTCTTGATATTGTCTCTTAACTCGGCCGCGTCTCGCTCTGGGACCTTCGTAAGTTCGTTTTAATAAACGTTGACGCGAACCATATCTTCCTCTCTGTGTGTCCCGGTCCTTTCAAGCTTCTTATCTTTTTTTTGCGACGCCTCGTCGCAGGCCATGATCATTGTCTGTTTGATCTTGGATAGAAAGAATGGTCCTATTCTAGGCGGTACTACTTACCCCCTCCCTCCCTATCTTTCCCTCCCGTTTTATTGATCATACTAGTCAAATATGTTTTCTTTTTTTCTTAATTCCGTATTCTTCGACTAGGATAATTATTCTAAAAATTATAAATCCTTTCTTTTCATCCATTTCCATGTAAAAATGAACAATTTAGCCTAGGAACAAGAATATACAAAATATATTTAAATTCAAGGTATCAATCCTTTAGATATATTTAAATTTAATATAAATGATTGATATCAACCACACAGATATATTCCTTATCCCCAATTTTCCAATTGTTATTCCCACTGATAAATCCAAGAATCCTTCTAGTACACGAATTTCGTTTGTTCTTTTTCTCAAGGCACGTTTACAATGTTGCGGCATGGACAGCAGCATCGAGGACCAGACGAGGAACTCGACCACGCCGGCATCCCCGTGGACCTGCCGCATCTCCAGGTCTGTACAACCCGTGAACAGGCCAAAGTGGTTGGGAGGGGAGACGAGCAGGCGTGCAACACAAGTTTCAGATTTAACAGCAAGTTGCCCGGAGGAGAGTCGAACAAGCTCGCTAAGCGTCCAAGGCTCCTCTTTTAAAGAAACCCTCTCGGTGCCACTTAATCGATCCTGGCCGACTTTTAGGGCTAATACGTAGACGATGTTAGGAGCGAAGACGGTTTACAAGCCGAACGATCCATCTTGGAACGGCTACGACCTCGATCTTCTCGAGGATCACCGATTTAAGGTCGTTCCGATTCCTCTTCTCATCTTCTTGAAGTCGCGTTCGAAATTATTTTTTTTCTTTCTTTCTTTCTTTCTTTCTTTCTTTCATTGCGTTGAATTTGTGATTTCTCATCTTTTTCATTAAAAAAAAAAAAAAAAGAAAAAAAGATTGAAGTTTTCGTTTCATGCTTCTTCTCTTTCGTTCGAGTTGAAAATTCGTGATGATCTTTTGTCTTTAAATTAGCGTGAGATTTTTCCTCTTTCTTTGAAAAAGAAAAAAATTCAGGTTTGCGGGCTTTTGTTTCCTCTTTTTTTCTTCGAAGTAAATCTTCGAAATAGTACGAAATTTTTATTTTTCGAAAAGATCGAAGTTTCCGTTGGAAGAGAAAATAAGTAGAGTAGAATTCGTTCGTTGAATACGATAGTGGGTTTATAGAATCCGTTGTCTTGTTTGTCTCGCGCTAAGTAAAAGTTGCGATTGGAATTCGCAGGAATTAATCGTTCTTCCTTCTTCCTCGAGTTCGAATTGAATTTGGAAAAGCTTCGAATTTCTCGAGTTGCCTTTTTCTTTTTTCAAGACGAGAATTGTAGCGTGCAACTTGGAATTTCGAGTGTGTCGTTCACTCGCGAGTGAATTAAAATTAAATCGAAAGTTTGGAAAGCAGACGGTTCGAGTTAAAACGTTGAACGTAGTCGGAAGTTGAAGCTCGGAGGTTTCTGCAGGCGCGCCGAGTTATGGTAAATTGAATTTTGAAGGAAAAAAATTGAATCGCTTTCCCAAACGAGACTTCGAGCCGAGTTTTTCCTTCGATGGAATTTAATTTTAATCGAATCGTTCGAAGAAAATTAATTATAAAACCTGGGTCCCTCTTAAAATGGAATCTCATTTTAATCGAGTGATCTTCGCGAATGAATTAAATTCGAGGCAATCTGTCTTTTCTTAAAAAAAAAAAAAAAAAAAAAAAAAAAATTAAAAAGCTTTGTAACTCTCTCATCATATCATCGTATCTACCTCCGTATGACACAGTTTAACGAACAATTGTTATGAAATGACATTTCTTTGTTAAATTCTACCGAACAATTTATAAATTTTTAGATTATTTTCTACGATATGGAATCATAAAAATAGAATCTAAAATTAGAAAGAAACGTTTATAAAAAGTGGAAGCACATAGCTACGAAAGAACGAAAAAATTAATTGCCATGACTTACGAAAACAAGTTATAAGATAAACACACGCGATAAATATATATCGGATGGAAAGAGAAATTAATTATCCTTTGTTATTATTAATTAAAGATATCGAATGCAAAGTAAATACGTAAAAAAAAATTGACGAATAATTTAATAACATTTTTAAAAACGCAGAACCAGAATTGAAAACTCACAACATTTATGGAGATGGAGTTAACACAGGTTAAGTTAATCCTTGTAATAAGTAATTTTTCACAAATTTCCAACGCGATGTAACGATCTCTCCTCCTCCATAACGATTTTAAAATTCCAAGATGGATTAAAGTTCCGCCCGGATGGATTTCCGGCGAAAACACGGTTGAAAACGCGGATCGCGCGCACGATTTTGCAATTAAACGCACGAGAATGGAAAGTAAACCGGCCAGCCAAACCAAGACTCGTAAACGTCGTTATCCTGAATTCATTTCCCCGTCAAATCGGTATTCGATATGATTCGCGGAATGAAATTCATTAATGCAAATATTCATCGCGGCCCGTAATCCCATTGTCCCGGATAAATCGATTAACCGATCGATGCTTCTTCCGGCCCGTGACATTCTCTTGTCCCATTGAAATCTCCCCTTCCAACGATTCCCCCCCCAACGATTCCTTTGACCATTTGATAAGAAAATTGCTTTGCGTCTGCTGCTAATCCGTAATCTCTTTTTAGATAATAGTTTCTTAGTTGGTCAATAGATAGAGAGAGAGAGGGAGAGGGGGAGGAGGGATATTAATGAGGATTCGTTTGCAAATCGAGGAAATATTCGTTTGAAGAGATTTCACATCATTAATTAATTCTTTGGTTACTTTAAATTAGCAATTGAAATTGGCTTTCGTTTGGATTTATTTTAGTAGCTCGTTTGAAAAAGATACCAATTAAATCTTTTACTTTGTTTTAACGAGAAAGATGATTCGGAATGTTGAATTAATTTAAAGAAAAAAAAATAACAATTAAGTTAGAATAGCGGTTGAAAAATTTTGTGAGTCAGAAAAGTGGTGAAAATAACGGAGAAAAATGTGTGACGAGTTAGAAGAAAAAAAGAAAAAGAAAAGAAAAGAAAAAAATCGAGTACGTAAGAAAATATTAACACAAAAATTATCACGTGGATTCACGTAGAATTCTCGGATTAATGGAAGTTCGACACGAGCAGAAATGCGGGTGGCCTCGCATTTATGGGTAAATTATTTTTATCCACCGCACATGTAAAGGGGTGGCTGTAAAAGAGCGCGGAGGTTGGTTGTCGGGCAAACGGGGTTGGAAAACGAGCGGATCGAGGCCAGTGTCCGTTAAAATGCAACTCCGTTTCTGCATGACCTGTTCGTGTTCAAAAAACGAGAAGAGAAGCCACGAGAGAAAAAGAAGAAGAGAAAAGAGAAAAAAAAATAGAAAAAAAAGAGAGAAAGAAAAAAAATGAAAAACAAGGGCACGGAATTCGAAAAACATCGAGTGTCGTGAATATCGAGACGCAATTTTCCCTCCCAATTTTCCCTTTCCCTCCCTTCTCTCACCCCTTCTTTCCTTTCTTGCCTACCTATTTTCGAATCCCTATTTTCGATTCGGTTCGTTTCATATCGCTCGACCAAGGAGAGCCGTGTTCCATTGACAGTGATACCAAAGATTGTTCGTTGATCCAACGATTTTCGAGAGCGATGAGGACACACGCGCGCGCGTCAGGTGACAGTTGGCCGAGGACGAAATTGATTCGAAAGCTAAGCCGTCGGCGTCGGGGAGCGCGGCGTGGAAAAGCGGCGATGCGAATTCATCACGAGGACTCTCCGCGAGCGCGTCGCGCATCGTCGAGTGTAGAGCTGGCTGCTCGTGTCGGCGAAAAAAAGAGAGACAGAAAAAAAAAGAAAAAAAGAAAAAAAGAAAAATCAACCACGGTCCCTTTTCTCTTCCCTTTTGTTCCCCTTTTCTTCCCCCATTCTTCTTATATTTTATCGTACCTATTTTTTTTCTCCCTCCTGGCATTTTTATTCGCTGTAATTTTTTTTTTCACCCTCTCCTCCTTCTCTTTGCTCCTCCATTTCTCTCTGTCCGTCTCTCTCTTCCTTCCTTTCTCTCGCTCTTTTTAATTCGTTCATCACGATTGAAACGAGCCGAACCAACCCCTCTCCTCCTCGCCCTTCTTCTACGTAACGATCTGCCCCGCTTTTCAACCAGATGACGCAGCGCGAACGATCGACCGGAATGATCGCGTTTAACGGGGATTAAGAGGAGATCGATGCCCCGATCGAATCGGTATTAATGGCCGTGAAAACGCGACCGACTCGATTTTCGAGATTATTACGCGTCGCGCGCGACGATTTTAAAATTGCTACTCCTTTGAACAAACCTTCTCTCTCTTTCTCTATGTATATATTTGTCCCTTGAAATGTTATTCTCTTCGATTCCATGCTCGTGTTTTTTCTCTCTCCCCCTTTTTCAACCGTGTGTAAAGGAACGTTACGCGTCGAAGAAATTTTTCTTTTTCTTTTTTGTCAAGCTTGCGGGTAAAGAGGATTATCAGTGACGCGATAAA